GAGCTGATCTTGGGTTTGTTCGCAGGGCTGTAGTTTGTGATTCTAGCTAACTGATAACTGCGGGTCACATGCGCTCACGGACTTCAGCAGGTAGTTTTCTGTGCTGCTGGCGGAACGGATTGGAGTCTCCGTGGTCGAGTGAAGATATCAAAACACGAGGCCGTGTGGGAGGGCTGAGAACCGGCCCGTTCCCATGATCCCTCAGACGCGCTCCTGATCGGTGAAGGTGAGCCGTTCCCAGCGCTGCGTCTGGAGGAGGCCAGTCCCTGACAGAAAGAAGGCATTAGCGCTGCAGCGTGGGTTAATCTGTAATTAATTAAGCTAATTACAGGCCTGTCGTTAGGACTCACGGTTCTGCTGGAGTGACGGCGTGTAATTAATGAAGTCAGCCAGTAGGAACACTGTGATGGAATGTGAATTTCTGAGGGGAAGTTTTAGACACGAAGATCTGACAGGATGTTCCCTTTAGGACCACTGACCCCGTGACCTCCACACCAGAGAGAGACATGGCTTCACGTGTAGAACAGAACAGATGCATTTTGTTTTGGATTGTTTGGATGTGTTGATGTGGGTTGATGTGCTATTGAGCTATTATATCGCTCAGATTAGACCACACCCACTGCATTCCCGGCACACCCACTCACTGCATTAGACCACACCCACATGTTTCAGACCACACCCACTCATTGCATTAAGACATCACCCACTATGTCCAGACCACATTTACTATATTCAGACCACACCCATTAGATACAGACCACACCCACTCACTGCATTAAGACCACGCCCACATGTTTCAGACCACACCCACCACAGTCAGACCACACCCACTACATGTTCACATGTAGAAAGCAGAAAGGTTTGTGTGAGAGTTCAGCACTAAAACAGCAGAAGGTAATGGAGAGTCCTCATCATGATAAAAACAAGTGTGTGTGTGTGTGTGTGTGTGTACTCATTCAGTTCCTCAGGGTTGTTGAGAGTCCTTCAGTCTGTCCTGGCATGAGTTCAGGGACCCTGTTTGTGTGTGTGTGTGTGTGCGAGTTACTTTGGCTTTTTAAAGATTAAAGTTTTGTTTCTATGATGTGACTCTTAATACTGTAGTTAAATTGTCTGTGTGTGTGTGTGTGTGTGTGTGAGTATGTTTTGAGTTCTTGTGTAATGAGTGTGTGTGTGTGAGCGGTTTGTGAGTTCTTATGAGTAATTATGGGTTCTGTTTGAAGCGGCCTGTAAAACAGCAGCCCTCTGGAGCGCCACAGAGTGTGTGTGTGTGTGTGTGTGTGTGTGTGTGTTTGCAGTAAGAGCTCCTGCGCTGGCTGGTGAATTCAGTAGGAGCTGAGAGAGAGACAGGCGAGGCGAGGTGTTGGCTGCTGGTCGGTTAGTTAGTTAGTTGGCTGGTAAACGGTAGTAGTGGGTGGTCCGCAGTGCCACTCTCTCCTGCTCATTTTTAAGTCGTTTGTTTGACACGTTCTGGCCTTAGTTTGCACTGTTATTTCCTGCTGCACTTACAGCTGTGAGGACTCCCATCATGCACTGCTCTGCAGCCTCTGAGACCCTGTGCTTTCCTCGTGACATCACTGCCCCCCTGTGGCGGCTCGCTCGCCCGCCGGACCCCAGCGTTGGTATGTTTGTGACAGTGTGACGGTCCGTCTGATGACGCTGCTCTGAGATGTGGGCGGCTCTCATCTGCGATCTCTCACGGAGCCGAGCTGTTCTCCGGCTCTAATGGGCTCGGCGTAAACTATTGCGCGGCTGCCCGCTCTCTAAATAAATAATCACAAAAACCATCGAACAGAGACGTCAAACACACAGAGGGTCGTTCTCTACTCAAATAAACCAACACAGTCTCACTCTAAATGTGTCTCTCTCTCTCTCCATATGTTTCAGTATGTGTCTGTCTCTCTCTCTCTGTAGGCCTGCCGCTAGTTGTGGGGTTTAAAATTGAGACAAGATGTTTCTGTCCGAGAGTGAAATACAGCTGCAATTACAAACGTTACGCAGGAGAGATTATTTACGCTTTCTCATAGAGACGACAGAGATGAGAGACGCAGATACAGGAACACACGTCAGATTTACTGCAGGACACAAGCACGCCGGCGGAGAGAAGGCAGTAAACCACTCCCTCTGAGGGGCGGGGCTTGGGTGAGGGGCGGGGCAAATGCATTCTGATTTAAAGACACTTCGATCACACAACCAACATCAAAAGTCATACACTGATCCACTGTAAATGAGATGAAACTGATGTAATGTGTCTGTGGCTTAACTGTGATAGACCTGTCTGTCTGTCTGTAGACCCGTCTGTGGTGCAGGGTTTGAATCCTCACAGATTTAGATATCTTTAGCTCTCCTGTATGTTCATTTTCTCTCTCTGTTATGTTCTGACATGTTTTCGCTCTCAGTCAGACTCTGGGTTCACTGTTAGTCTTGTTAGTTATGTTTATGTGATATCTGAGCAGAGTGCCGCTGAAGTCGCGTGGAATGCTGCGCTGTTGCTGGCGTTTGAAGCAGTGAGTCATCTAATGCAGCAGCGCATGTTTCCGCTCGCAGCAGCTGGCCTGAATAACAGGAGCGGCTCAGATGTGTCCTGCTGCATGTAGGTCTGCTGGAGCCTCGTGTGCTCGATGCTGGAGTTTATTTGCACAGAGATCCCGCTCACCGCTCGGAGGAAGTGAACGGAGAAATGGAGGGACTCAGATTTCACAAGTCAGAGATAAACATGCACCTGATCAGCAGCACGTTTAACGCCCGCTGCATTACTGCGCCTCTACACGAGAGTAGCAGTGCTTTTAGAACTTATTAGAACAGTATTTCTTAATTTATTTCTAACAGTTCCAGTCATCTGATCTGATCCGCTTTTGACTGTTTGTGACGTTTCTGAAGGGCTGCATGCAGCGCGTGATCCTGTCTGTAGACGGCTGATGATCACTGTTGTGTGTTCCTGCGGTCGGACCGCTTCAGCTCGGTCTGGTGGTGGAATAAGGACATGTGTTTCTGCTTCCTCCTCCATCAGTTATGAAAGACGAAGCATGATGTGATGATGATGGTCATGTTTTCAGAGGTTCACTCACATGCGCAGGTGCTCTTTCTGGTCTGAAATGATAGCTTATTACTCCACCAATCACAGTGCAGCATGAGACTGTGAGAGCTCTGTGATTGGCTGGCCTGTGTGTTGGCATAACATCAGGCAGATGAAAGACTGAGTGTGTGTGTGTGTGTGTGTGTGAGAGAGAGTGTGAGTATATGTATGAGTGTGTGTGAGTGGGGGTGTGTGTATGTGTGAGTGAGAGAGTGTGTGTGTGTGAGCGAGTGTGAGTATATGTATGAGTGAGTGTGAGTGTGTGTATGTGTGAGTGAGAGAGTGTGTGTGTGTGAGCGAGTGTGAGTATATGTATGAGTGAGTGTGAGTGTGTGTATGTGTGAGTGAGAGAGTGTGTGTGTGTGAGCGAGTGTGAGTATATGTATGAGTGAGTGTGAGTGTGTGTATGTGTGAGTGAGAGAGTGTGTGTGTGTGAGCGAGTGTGAGTATATGTATGAGTGAGTGTGTGTGTGTGTGTGTGTGTGTGTGTGTGTGAGAGAGTGTGTGAGCGAGTGTGAGTATATGTATGAGTGAGTGTGAGTGTGTGTATGTGTGAGTGAGAGAGTGTGTGTGTGTGAGCGAGTGTGAGTATATGTATGAGTGAGTGTGAGTGTGTGTATGTGTGAGTGAGAGAGTGTGTGTGTGTGAGCGAGTGTGAGTATATGTATGAGTGAGTGTGAGTGTGTGTATGTGTGAGTGAGAGAGTGTGTGTGTGTGAGCGAGTGTGAGTATATGTATGAGTGAGTGTGAGTGTGTGTATGTGTGAGTGAGAGAGTGTGTGTGTGTGAGCGAGTGTGAGTATATGTATGAGTGAGTGTGTGTGTGTGTGTGTGTGTGTGAGAGAGTGTGTGAATGTGTGTGTGTGTGTGTGTATGTGTGAGAGAGAGTGTGTGTGTGTGTGTATGAGTATATGTGTGAGTGTGTATGAGGCGGTTGCAGGTGTGAGACATTGAGTCCAGAGCGCACAGATCTCCTCCGCTGCTTGTTTACAGTTTCAGGGCCGGTGCAGTGACTCCTGAAATTACAGGCATTGCTCTGACAGGCGAGCGTCCTCACGGCCTTCAGTCTCTGCTACATCAAAGCGCTCGTCCCCCGTACGGCTGCGTCTTCAATGGCTGTGGAGCTTTGAAGTGCCGCGTGTGTTTATGATAGCAGAGCCGGAGCGCTGGGCCTGAGCCATGATGGGAAGAGAGCGCCCGGCTGCAGGTGGCCTGGATGCTCTGTTTGTGTGTGTTTCTGAGCGTTATCTCACACACAGCCTCTTAAAAGCCATAAAGTTCCCTTAATAGAGCACTTAAAGGAAGAGAAGACATGCCGCTGGAGCAGAGAGAGAGCAGAGTGACCTGCTGAAGGCAGCGCCACACAACAGGATGTTGAACATGAGCCTTTAATACAGTCAGACACACACACACACTCACACACACTCACACACACACTCGTGCTCATGTTGTGCTCCTCGTTTGTGATGCTGGAAGCTGATTGGCTCTCAGAGCACACGGCAGTGCCTGCGGGCCTGACATACAAGATCCCGGACGTGTCCAAAGCCGATCTGGAAGTAGTGGGAGCTCATCAGCGCTCTTATCGGATGATTGAGGCGTTCTGATTTACGCCAGAGAATTCCCAGTAAATCCCGAAGGCATGGGAGCTATTACGCGCACACGGTCGTGACGGATGTCCTCAGTGCTGAACTGTGGGTAAAGATGATTGTTTAAGAACCAGAGAAGCTGATGTTTCATGGACGTTTATTGAAGAAAAATGTTATTTTTGGCTGCATATCAGTTGCTTTGAGCTCTCGTCTGAAGTGATGGATGCAGTAACACACACTAATAGGCCGGTCCAGCTAGTGGATGCTCTTCTCAGTGAGAAGCGCGAGTGAGCGGCGGTTTGTGCAGAGGCCGTCTGTTCAGAGTTTCTGTGTGTGTTGTAGGTGCGGTGCTCTTGGTGAGCGTTCAGGGCGTCGCTGTTAATGTGGATCCGGTTCTGTCCTCCTGGCTGCTGTTCCACCCTCAGAGAACCAGCGGCAGCAGACAGACTCAACAGGTACATCAGTGTGTGTGTGTGTGTGTGTGAGAGTGTGTGTGTGTGTGTACGTGCATGTGTGCGTGTGTGTGTGTATGTATGAGTGTGTGTGTGTGTGTGTGTGTGTGTGTGTGTGTGTGTGTGTGTGTGTGTGTGTGTGTGGGGGAGG